CGGAGGATGTCAAGTCCAACACGACCAGCTGCGTGACCAGCAAGGAGGCAGGCAGCTCATCTATACCAGCATCTCTCAAAAGCAAGGTTTGCAGCCTGGGCATATCCAGTGACTCGAGACTCCATGATTGCTCATCATTTATACTCTGGCTTGTAGAAAACTTTGTGGATGAGAGTGTGATGTTGTTGAATGCAGTATCCCCGAAGTGCGATGACACCAGTCTGTTTCTCCTCGCAAGTGGTGTCTCATCCATCATCTTCAGTGCGCTGTCGCGGATTACATCATGCATATGGTAATTCACGGGGTCACCAGATTGAAATGCAGCCATGTCCATGAGGTCTTCCCCTGTCCGTACGATCAGTGACTTGTCTGCCAGAGCCCGCAGCACTGTTCTTGCGATGTGCTCATCTTGACATGATCCAGAGTGCACTTGTAGCTCCACCAAGTCAGACTCTCTTGCATAGCAATCTTCAGGTAGCATGGCCAAGTCCAGCAAGGTCGACCGCTCCTGCTCATCAAGATTGTTAAAACTCAACCGGAAGACACGGTTAACCACCTTAGAATCGGCAAAGCCTTGCCTGGTCAACTCCTCGACTGTTCTCGCCCATCTGTCCTTTTCAAACGAAGTAGCCCCACGCCTTCCTCCCTCTTTGTAGGTCCTGACTTCCCTGCCAACGACTTCCAGTGCAAGAGGGAGGCCATCACACTCTTGAACAATGTCCCTCACATGTTGTTCTTGCCACCTTGATGGTTTGCCACCATCAAAAGCGCACTTGCAAAACAACTCATGGGCTTCGCTAGAGTTCAGAGGTTCCATGCAGTAGTCAGTGGCATCGACACATTTGCCTACTTTAGCATCCCTTGTTGTAATGAGCACCCTGCTGCTCATGGACAGAACATCAAGGCACCTCAAAACATCCCCTTGCCAGACATCGTCCAGCACCAGAAGCACAGACATGTCCTTCAAGGCAGCCTCAAGGATGGTAACGAAATCTGCAACACATATGAACTCCGCCCTGTCCTTTGCATCGACGAATGCATCGTATATCCTCTTTAGGCATGCCTCAATGTTGGGGTTTTGAGCAACAGTCACAAAACCTATTAGTGTAAACGTGGACCGAATTTGGTCATCATGGACTATTGCCTTTGCCAAAGTGGTTTTCCCACTTCCTCCCATGCCGTGAAGCACCACATGTTTCCTTCCTCCCTTGAGCAGCTTGTCTCTTACAGCTGCCACCTTTCCATCCAAAGCCACTACATCCGGCGCACTGGGAATGAATGCCAAACGACCTGATTTCGACCTGACACGCTGCAGAATTCGATCGACCTTTCCTTCCATGCGTTTGACGTTCCCTTCCACACGTTCAACGTCTCCTTCCACTCGTTTGACCACCCTGTTTGTGCAGTCTATTTGAAAGCTGTTGAGACGATGAACACACCAATCAATGACCTGCAAGACTGATTGCGGTCCTGAGTTCGTTTGCCAGAATGCATCTTTAAGCCTACATATGTTCCCTTTGCTTTGAAAATGCTCCAGCGCCCGTGCAGCCTTCTCAATGAACTGCATCAAGTCCTCTAGCAGTGCCACATAACTTTTGTCATTCTGCTGGCAAGCTTCCCACAATCCCTCCAATACGCGCTTGCCGACCTCTAACAGCCGATTGTGCGCAGACCCAACACGTCCCATTTCTTCCCTCTCTCGAGCAGCCACCTCGAGCACAAATCCCAGCAGCTGCAGGGCGGCACCCACAAATGGCACAGCTCCTCCCACCTCCTTGATGAGCAGCGCAGTTGATTGAACGGCACCAGTCGATTGAAGGGCACCAACAGCTGTTGCTGCCCTGTCCACAGCAAGCTTGGCGATCGCCAGGTTCGCTGAGGTCAGAATTTTCGTTCCTCCACATCCCTCCTGCCCTACTTTAGTCTCCTCGTGCAGCTGGAGAGCTTGCATCATGTCAGACCATGCCATAACTCGCAGCTCCAAAATGCGAACCCATTTAGCCGCCATCTCTGGGTAGGAAGTCTTGAACCTTTGCTTCTCTTCCTGGTGCTTCACCATCCATGTGCATTCGCCTGCAAAGTACACCACCACTGTTTCGCCACGGACCAGTCCGATGTGTTTGCCTGCGTGCCATGCGTTCCTCACTCTGGGGCATTCTTCGTGGGGACCCGCCTTCCTCCACCATAGGTCGACCTGGGCCAGCAAGAAGACATCCTTCCATCCATTTTTCTTGGGTGACCATATTTGGACTCTTTCCGCAACGGGAGCCAAAAGGTCGGACAGCGATTTCGGGATGATCGTGCTGCCAGCGTGCGCCTGTGCAGATGCACAGGCCAGTCAGTCAAAAATGTAGCCAAGATGCATGGCAAGATCTCATGTCCACGAATTCATTAGAGCTAGGACTGAAGAAATTCTGGCAAGGGTGCCAATCATTTTCACCATCGGTACCAGTCATTTTCAACTTCAATAGGAAGGGTGGGCCCGGTTGGGCACACGCACGGCATCCGGCTGAGCACACTTGCTCCCACAGCGTCAAGGACTGAAAGTGCCAAGCGACATGTTTTGCCCACCGATTATCGCATTGAATGGCGGCGAGCGTCAACTACGTCTGTGACGTCAACTGCACATAACGCGCATCCACGGCTGGGGGGCCACCCCCGGGACCAGCCTTAGGGTCTGTCAACACGCAGATCCCGTCCGTGTCGCTCATCGTCGCGTCGGTTCGTCAAACTTTTCGCGCGGCACGAATTCCACGTCAGACCCTGGGTCATCGGCCAGCGGTTTCGCCCAACTCGCGGCACCCGGAGAAGAATGTCCTTTTGACGGAAGTGCAACACGTCACACAGCGGGCACCACTCACTTGGCAATCACCTCACCGAAACTCGCATCCCCCTTGCAGGTCCTTACTGAACCCTTTGAGCGCAACGCGAGCGGGGACAACCCAATGCCACCCTTGCTATGCGACCAGATCGCACAGCACTCGGCACTTGCCGCGCACATCGAACAATTCCAATCCAACACCCCAATCGGCCAAAACAGCTGCACTCGCTCCCACAGCGGATGGCCCACCATTGTCGGCCGGCCCTCCGCCGAACAGCCCCGCCAGGATGGCGGTCCCCCGTTGGCGGGAGCCTACCCACCCGCCCCGCGATGGCTGCTGGCCTTTGGCCGGCCCCAAGGGCCGGACTGGGTGCGCCAAGGCCAGGCGCAGCCGGAACGCCCGCTGTGCCGCCTGGATTCCTCCTTCGGACAACCTGACGTCTGCTTCTTCGAACACGGCGCGGGCCGCGGGCCTGTGTGCTGTCCCGGCGGCAAATTTTGGGCTAGTACATTAGCGCAGTACATCACATGTGGGGGACTCAGCCGCATCCCGCCCACCCTGCCGTGGCCCAGGGCCAGGAATCCCCGGTTCCTGGCCCTGTGCTGAGTCGCATGTGGCGGTGTGCCGGTTCGAGAGTCCCTTGCGAGGAAAACCTCACGCCGGTGCAAGGAGTTACAATTGACTCTGACGGTTCGAACATATGAATGGAATCCCAAACATCGTACACAGAATGTATCTCCAATCTGTTCCCACTCGCTGGTCAACGCTCCGCACCCCACCTTAGAGCATCTTTATCGGTGGGTGCTATTGTTCCGGCGGAGCTATTCAGGAACGGTTCTCATTGGCTGCCGTGCCACCTTACTAAGGTGGCATGTGCCAAATAGCGCCGGTGCTATTGGGGAGCAATAGCACCGGGCGTGCATCCGCAACGGTGGATGCCTTGGGGAGCAATAGCACCCTGTGGGCATCCGTAACGGGGGGTGCTATTTGCATGGTTCGGCTGTCCCAAGGCCCCTCCGCTGTACTAAGGCCCCTCCACGTTGTTCCAAGCAGCCGCCGCCAAGTGCTGCGTGAATAGCACCGGTGCTATTCTGGGGAGCTATTCGGTCTCGAGCGGAGCTATTCAGGCCCCGAATAGCTCCGCTGGGCGCCGAATAGCTCCGGGGGAGCTATTGGGGAGTTATTGCTCCCCAACAGTTAAGAGCATCTTTATCGGTCGGTGCTATTGTTCCGGCGGAGCTATTCGGCTATCCGAATAGCTCCGCACGTCAAAAAACCATCATTAAGAGCATCTTTATCGGTCGGTGCTATTGTTCCGGCGGAGCTATTCGGTTATCCGAATAGCTCCGCACGTCAAAAAACCATCATTAACGGTTGGGGAGCAATAACTCCCCAATAGCTCCCCCAGAGCTATTCGGCGCCCAGCGGAGCTATTCGGGGCCAGAATAGCTCCGCTCGAGACCGAATAGCTCCCCAGAATAGCACCGGTGCTATTCGCGCAGAACATTATAGTGCTGCAGTGATGCTATTCGGCGTAGTCATAGCACACACCATTGCGGATGCGTGCAGGGGAGCAATAGCACCGGTGCTATTCGGCAAACGCCGCCTTAGTAAGGTGGCACGGCAGCCAATGAAAACCGTTCCTGTATAACTCCGCCGGTGCAATAGCACCGACCGATAAAGATGCTCTAACGGTTGGGGAGCAATAACTCCCCAATAGCTCCCCCGGAGCTATTCGGCGCCCAGCGGAGCTATTCGGGGCCAGAATAGCTCCGCTCGAGACCGAATAGCTCCCCAGAATAGCACCGGTGCTATTCGCGCAGCACTTGACGGCGGCTGCTTGGAACAAAGCGGAGGGGCCTTAGTACAGCGGAGGGGCCTTTGGACAGCCGAACCATGCAAATAGCACCCCCCGTTACGGATGCCCACGGGGTGCTATTGCTCCCCAAGGCATCCACCGTTACAGATGCACGCCTGGTGCTATTGCTCCCCAATAGCACCGGCGCTATTTGGCACATGCCACCTTAGTAAGGTGGCACGGCAGCCAATGAGAACCGTTCCTGAATAGCTCCGCCGGAACAATAGCAATCCCCGATAAAGATGCTCTTAATCACTCCGACCACAATCCAATACACTTCCAGCAATCGATACAAAATCAAATCAATCCACTATAACGCTGAGTGCATTCTGACGAGTCACATCATCAATACAGTGCCAGTTCCAAGACCTCACTCTAGTAGGTGTACACGCATTGACAGAATTCACCATCTCAGGCGGTCCCGCGTGCCCCGGCACAGGAGGCGGGACATGGGGCACTGAGCATGTGGGGTGGTGGCAGACACCCACGGCCAGCCCCGCAAGCGCCATGTACGGGGTCCCCACTGCCTATGGGTGCACGGTCTGCCAGGATTACCTGAGACGCAGGGGCGCCAGACCTGGCGATGAGTGCCTGGTGGACTGCGGCCCACGGCAGGCGACCCAGGCAAGCACGCCAAGAGAACGCAGAAGGTCACACGCGCGGGGCGGCAACGAGGGGCAAACGGACGGATCCAGATCTCGTAGTACAGCCAAAGCCTCTTGCTGTCAGTCATGGACGCCAAGGACGAACGGAACGGCGATGGACAGAAAATGGCGGGGAGATCGGTTGAGGGCGATCAGGTTTGCAACGAGATTCAAGCAAGGCGAGAACTGGAGATTCACGGCTTCGGCTTTTGAAGCGCTTGCTTGCCACGTGGGCTAAATTAGACATTGAGATCTCCGCATGCCCACGAAAAAATTGGGGAATTGTGTTCGGCAGTTCTGCACAACCCCACCAAGAAAGCATTCCATACAGGGAGGCTGCGTTTGGCAACGGCCCCCGCGCTCTACCCCCCAAGGCCTGACCTCCATCGGGCTTCCTCCGGTCGGCCATCAGCTGAATTTTCGAAATGCTCCACCGTCAGCGCCCTTCCATCGCTGGCCTCGCCAATGGGCAGCAGGTCTCAAGGTGTTAAGCGTGTTGCGCACCATGGGGACACGAACGCGGAAAGCAACGGTAGGCCCCAGAGTCTCTGGGCCCAGCGCCGCATTGCGCTGCGCTTCCTGGGTACGTGAACAGTCAGACTGCTCACAGGGCAGTGGCAGTGCCGCCTGTATGTAGGGAATCGGGCTTTGTGATGGCTGACGTAGCTGAATGATGGGTTTGTGACGGTCAGGGACCAGCCTCACGTGTCCCGCCGGGACAGCTCGGTTCCCTAGTCGCAGTAGTAGGGAACCTCACACGTTCTTATGAATTTCACCAGCAGCAGGTGCTCTGAAAAGACTACCCCACGTCATTATGTCCGCGAAAGGTACACCCTGCCGGCCCCTGTCTGCACATCGTCCAAGCACCTTCAAAACAACCCGCTGACCCATCCAGAGTTACCAACACGCACCCTCGACCGGCCTTCCTCTCCGCCTTCCCATCAACCCCCACCCCCAACGCCCAAAACCCGCCAACATGCCGCGCCCAGGGCGCCCAAAACCACCCGAGCGCCCCAAGGCGCCGCGACAACGACCGCCGCGGCTTCGCCAAACACCCTCCGCGCGAATAATCTCCAACTCTGCCGAGGCCCCACGTCCCGGCCTTCCCGGGCTTGGTGATTGGGCTCTCCGTTCGAGCCCTGCGGCCAATGTGGCCAACCAGTATGGGCGTCGATGCCCCGAACGCGCTCCTGCTGGCCATTTTGGCATCGCTGCTGATCGCTGGCCTCGCGCAGCAAGCCAGCGAAGATGATTCCTTCGACTGCGGCTGGGATGACCTCCTGAAGCGCGAGAGGCTGCCGGTCGGCGGTGTGGCGCCGTCGGCATACAGGCTGGAGCTGGACGTCCCGTTGGAAGAGCCCTTCGAGGTGGAGGGCAGGGTGGAGGTCGAGCTGGAGGTGGCCAACGCCACGCGGTGCGTGATGATGCACGCCAGGGGGCCGGCTGTGCGGTCCGTCGCGGCGCTGGAGCCTAACATGACGGGTGAGTCATTGGCCTGTGGGGGCGGAGCGAACTGACCCACGGGAGGGGGACCCTGACCCACGGTGTGGGGTTCGGGGGTTCTGCGGAAGAGGGAGTACCGTCCGCGACCTGGTTGAGCTTTTCTTGTTTTCTGTAGGGTTTATGGTCGGGGTGGGAAAATGGCGCGGAAATTGTTCTGGCGGAATGGGGTGGGGACATCTGGAAGGATGGCGGGCGGCGGGGCTGCATGAGGGGCTGAGGGCGACAGGGGGCTCAGGCGCGGCGCCTTTGTCGCCAGGAACGTCGGCATCCGGGTTGTTGTGGAGACGGGGGGGTGGTTGCCAGGAGAAAGAGGGGAAATTTTGTGACTGCACTTTTCGAAAACTCACAGAAGGCCGCCATTGCACCTCCAAGGTGATGTCGGGCGCAAGATGGGCTGTGCTTCCTTCGTGGGGCTTTGAGTGGGAGCTGGGATGCGCACTGCATGGCTTGTGTCTTCTCCTGCTGTGAGCACGCCCGGTTCAGTGTGGACTTGGTGATGAGCAACAGTCGTCCGCTGCCAACGTTTTGCGCACTTTGTGGATGCGTTTCGCCCAAATTGGCCTTGCAGCCGCTGGGGCGGTGCTTTGCCATGTTTCGACAAAATTCATTCAGGTTTTGTCGCTTACTTGCCGTTCACAAAGTTTGCCGCTTTGGCAGGGAGCTTCATTCTGGCAGCCTTGGAGTTTGCGCTCTCACCAGACCGGCTGTTGATCGAGTTCCCTTCTGCGTTGCCGACACCCAGAGTCACCATTGCAATCGAATTCAACTACACCCTGCAGGAGAGCCCAACTTTTGGGTTGTGGAGGAGTCAGGTTGATGGTGAGTTTCCACGCGGGCTCATCCAGAATGGTTGGACTCGTGTCTTGAGCAGCCCCAGCAGATGCACACGTTCATGGACAAGATTTTTCTGGCTCTTTCAATACCATGATGATGCGGATGCCTCCAAGCGGCAGTGTATGAAGAAAATGCATACCTTAGGTTGGGATGAATAACTTGCTGTTCCTACAGGAAAGCACTGCATAAGCAACTCAAATGCCACAAGATGGACTTAGGCACTTCCTGAAGTGCTGAGGTGCCCATTTCATTCCATTGTCTTGCAACAGGAAACTACACATTCGTGCACAATAGGAGTGCCAGAATCGGCACATCCACAGAATGTTGAAGTGCATGTGGCATCCAAGCCAGCCATAAGCCCTGTGGACTGTGTGCTGATTGGAACAGAACCTAAGCACTGTGGCAATACACCCTCATGAATGGTGTTCTGTGCCGGCAGATGGCAAGAATGGCACGCGTTGGCTGGCCACAACGCAGTTTCAACCTTCCAGTGCCCGGCGTGCCTTTCCCTGTTTCGATGAACCACAGCTCAAGGTGGGCATCGTCGCTGCTGTTGTCAATCATTGTGAAGTACCGATGAATGTCAATTTGTAGGATCCCATTCAGGCATGTGCTTGAGCAGAAGCCCTGGGACAGAACAAGGCAGATGTACAAGTGCAAGCACAACAGTACAAGCTGCACATGCTAGGTATGGAAACCAAAATAGGCAAAGATGTGCAGATTCCAGATATGGGCACCACATGTCCAGGATCTGCCCATATCCGGGATATAGCACAAAGGTTCTCATTATCTGGGGTATGAGCTGCTCATACACAAGGTGTGGAGCGCCAGTATCCTGAGCACGTATATCCCATATGTTTTCCAGTTAAGCACGCAGAACATGTTGCCAAGGCAGATGGTGTTGTTGCTGCCTTCAGGATGCCGATTAGATTGCAGGGGTTTAAAATGCTGTATGTACGTTGTAAACTGTGGAACTCAATTTGCATGCATGGTGTATTTCGATTGCTTCCTAAATTGTATTTGTGCTTTAATGAGCCATGTCTCTGCATCTTTGTGCCCCACATGGGCTTGCCTGCAGCGCTAAAAGGTGGGCATCTTTGCTTGTAGCGATGCTTAAAGCCAAATTTGGCCACCTGCGTCTTGCAGCCATGGAATACAGCTGGACATGGTCTGAAACCTATTCCAGCCAGAAAATTCTAGGCGTTTGTGGCACTTTTAAACGCACACCACCTCTGTTGCTCCGCTTCATGTTGGCAATCAACGCGCAACTGCACAATGTATCCAAAATCGAAGTTGTCAACAGGGTTGCTGGGCATGTGGGCTTCATGACGTGCAGCTGTTGTGTCTTCACCAAGCTGCTGCGCAGCCCTCAGGCAAGCAACTGGGGTGCCCCATAGTTTGAAATCTTACAAGGAGGGCTGCATTGCTGGTGCAATTCAGACAGGGATGCCAACCTCATCAACTTGGGGTCAAATGTGAGTGATCGCTGTCGACTTGCCGCAACGCAAAGTACGCCTGTACCATGCTTGGAGAAAAGCATGGAAAACCACATGAACAAGAATGCACGTGGGAATGCACCAAACCAGTCTACATTGATGCTGCAACGGTTTTGAATCGATCCATTTGCATGCCCACAAAAGTACGATTGCAGATACACTATACTATTCCAATCTTGAAATTCTTAAAGTATCATGGAGTCAACTGCATTCTAGCTCAGCGGATTTTTCGTTGCTGCAAGGCAGAGTTCCAGGTCAATCTGACCACCCCTGCATCTGCAATTGCATTGAGCACAATGCCCATTGCATCCACGGGCGAGACGTCCATTGGCTCCTCCAGAGTCCGGCACGTGTTCAAGAAAACGCCAAAAATGCCCATTTACACTCTGGCCTTTGTTGTTGGGCATCTACACAGCCGATCGAAAATGGTGACAACGGCCTTGGGGATGAAACGTGTCGCAGTGTGGACAGTGCCAACAAGGTGAGGACGGAGTTGCAAAGAACACGCAAACGTGGCTGCTGTACTCATCTTGAGTAGAGCCTGTGCATCGCATCAGTGGAGTTTATTGGAGTAACCAATGTGCGGCAAGAGAAGTCTCTTATTTTTGCCTGTTGTCCTTCTAAATATCCCTGCATCCCTGCTTGTTGTGTGATGTGTTTGGCCAAGGAATTGCAGCAGCACACATACTGCGGCTGCTACAATTGGTGCTTGTTGTCCTTCCTGCACGTGACATCACCAGAGGTGTTGAAGACGCGAAATTACTCGAAATGATTCAAAAAATGCTCGCACAGACCTCCAGCAGCAAGATTGTACTGCATGCATGGGCACTCTCTATGTTGCTGGACAACATAGATTGATTTCAACGATTGCCTCTGTTTCCTTGCCAGACAAAAGGAAGACATGGAGGTTGGGCTGCAGCGAATGGCTTCCGTTCTCACCTACATGGAGAACCGCACGGACATTCCCTACAGCCTGCCGAAGTTGGATTGGGTGGCTGTGCCAGGCTTCGGGCCAATTGGCATGGAGAATTGGGGCCTGCACATGTCCCTGGAGAGCGTCATCCTGACGTCACAAAACCACTCCGGCGCTGTAGATTCCTTGTTGATCGACGAGATCGTGGCCCATGAGGTCGCGCACAACTGGTGGGGCAACCTGGTGACCAACATCTGGAGGGAGGAAATCTGGCTGAACGAGGGCTTGGCATCATATTTTCAGGTGCAATTCGTTCTCTTGCACTTACAAATGCAGGTCAAAGACAGACAACCAATACATAATAGCTTGTATGCTCTGACCGATGAATCCATTCCATATGTAGTATGTATCTATTTTATGTATCTTGCTCGTCTGCCTGTTTTCTGTTTCTATCTGGTATATTGAAAATGACTAAATGCAGCACTCACGCCCACAAGCCGATGCCCAGCAAGCTTCCACTTGCAGATTGCAATTGCGATTAGAATCGAAATACGCTCCAGTCCAGAATACGGTTGTCAAAATACTAGAGATAAATATGTACTTGCTCCGTCCGGAATTAACTGTCCTCTATGACATTGGCGCCCTAGTTCTCCATCATGAAAGCTTCCTTTTTCAATAAAATTTCTTCCAAAAGTGCGCCTGTGTTTTCGGAGTATACGGTGAATCTACATACAATCATACTACAATACATTGTAGTAAGGGTCCTCCTGCCATAAACTCACCAGTTTTTCAACAAAGTCACCGAAACGGCTGTTTTCATGATGATGAGGAGCACGCCTTTGCAGCAGCCAAACAAGACCGCCCATTCAATACTATCTGCATCCTTTGGACAGAAGCTTGGAGAGGTCCCTGTGAAGAAGCAAACTGGTAGAAAACGTGTCTTTGCAGGCTTGATCGTGGAAGTTGCCGTGGCTTCGCTGCCTTAATTCGAGATCGATTGGCCAATCCGGAGATGCATTTCCGGCACAGATTTCTGGGCCGCGACCTTTGAACCTCTATCGCTGCTGTGAGAGGTACCGTGCAGGGCCTCCCAAGCCCCTCGAAGAGGTGCGAAGGAATGTGATGGCCATCACTGTAATGAATGGCGGACAATTAGAGAATGGATTCCAAGGCAGAACACAGAAGTTGACTCTTGCATCGACAATTGAAAGGGTAGAACGTGAAGTGAACTGGCAGAGAGACAAGTTTGTGTCTCTCTCATAAGTAGAGACTAGTTAGATTGCGAAGGGTTGTGGACTACACGTAGGAGTTGGCCGCTAATGGCAATTTCTGGAGTGTGGGCCCAGCCATGCACAAAAGCCTCGATTCAAAGATCAATCGAGGTGCAATGTCAGAGTACACTTGCAGCATAGCCTTAGAGTGATAGCCCGCACAGAGCCCAAGCTTGAGCGCCTTGGGCGTTAGCCTTTTCCGCTTGTGGCAAGTCCTCGCATCGGAGATCAAGGAGGCAGCGATTTCTGCCATCCTTGACAAAGTGACAATGGGCTTCTATGATGGGGATCCAAATACAGTTGAGTGTGTTTAGCAAGCGCTACACAACGTGAGGGACACTGCCCTTTGCCATAACAGCAACGACCGCCTTGCTTTGGCACGCCTTGGACGGGAGCCGCCCAGAACTGCGCGGATCTCCAACGGACGCCGTATCAGCAAGCACAATTTTCAGCCAAACCTTAGGCAATTGAAAGGGGGCCCCAGAAGTAGTGGGGATGGGTATTTTGTCACAAGAATTGGTAGTCGAGGGTTTTGTGACCCAATCTCTTCGATTATGACCGTTATTGGTACTTTGAAAGCCATTTTTAGATAACTAATTTGATCGTTGAAATAGATGACAATTAATTCCGGACGGAGGAAGTATTAAATGTGTTTGCGAAGTTGTAACTGTATTTGCAGAGCTTGTATGTATACTACCACCATTTCATAAGCCGTGTCTGATCTCGAATTCTCACTGGAACTTGGCAAGAACAACTCAATCAATGAACCTGCCACCATGTTCGGATTCTTTGGTTGATTTTAGCTTGATGTTGACCTTTTTGGGTTAGTCACCACCACTTAACATGGCATTTGACAGCCCTTTTCAATAACGCCCCCAATCAATTTCGTGCAGGCCTCCAATTCCCCGCATTGTTGCATTGGCCATATTCCGGTATTTCCCAACCCAAATTCATTGCGAACCTTGTTGTAGACAACACGTATGTGGTGCTACACACTTTTGTCATTTTGATGCCGTTGCTATCACACTTTGGGGGATCATCTCTTTCAATATGCTGGATCGTGCTGCCAACATTCTTGCTTACAACAGTTGGCCGTGTTGGCTTCAATCTAGGGCGTTTTACAGGTTGATGCAGGTATGTGCGGCCTTCAAATCCTTGGCACAGCTGAACGATAGATGCTCTTGTAATGATCAAGGTGTCTCTTGGCTTTTCACCATCACTGGCACGCAGTTGTTGTTATCACCACAAATTTTGCAGCGAACCCAAATCCTTTTCCTTGCAGATTCTGTTTGGGATCAAGCCGGATCTTCAGCGGGCATCATACCACAAAAGCATGCATCTCTCCTTGTGATTGCTCAGATCAATCCAGCTCTTCTTAAGGGCAAGGAAAACATCTTACATCCAATGCAATGCGCGGGAAAAAAAGAAACGGAAAATCGTGTTTCAGCTCCTCTTGACATATCACAAGAACGGCAGCATCATTTGGAACGTTGGAGGGCTCTATGAATAGCTCTTGATATTGCGCTTCGAAGTTGTTCCAGGCAATTTTTCTGACTCGCACGTTTTGACCACCGTTTGGGCAAAGTTGAGATCGGACACTACTCATGAAACAGAGGTAGTATTTGTGAAGTTCCAAATTGAATCCGTTGTGTGCCCCCAGGCGTATGGTGCAGAGGCGGCTGCGACGGGCGACGGACATGCAGAGAGGTTCTATCTTAGGGTGACGGTGCCGGCCCTGCTGGTGGATCAGGAGTCCGAGGGGTTTAGTCACCAGCTCACAAGGCCCGGCCAAGATAGGGGGAGCTACTGCGGCGCCATCGGCTTGCCCCAGGCGACACTGACGTACCTAAAGGTGAATTGAGTGAAGAGAGTATGCTGCCATATCCGTCTTTGCTGCCCACCCTGTCGCTTTTTCAGTTTTGGCCTTCGATGGTTGTTGCAGATTTAGAAGTTTTAATTGCGATTCAGGGTGGACGAAGTGTTTGCACGACAGAGTAGTTGGATGCCCAATTTCGCAGCGGCATTCAGCGCGGCGGCTATTTATGAACTCCTGACGGATCCGCCCTGATGGGGACATCCAATCTGATTTGCTGAAACACCAGCCTCTGCCCTTGAATTACTGCTGGACAAGGGGCCAAAACAAGCAGCTTTGATTGGTGGACTTCGTCGCAGTACTGTAGAACATTAGAGCTAGTGTAGTACTGTAGCACATGAAAGCTGGTGGTGTGTGAGTTTGAGGTTAAAATATTATGTTTTATCGAAAACCAGCTGATTGTGCGCTGCATTGCCGTTAACACGGATGCAGCGGAGAAACAAGATCAAGAGATGTATATGCACTTATGCATGCGCATTTCTGTGTTGGCATACGTATCATGCTTGCTTCGTTTGGGTGTAAATCTGTTTCTCATTAGATGCCATATTGCGGTAAGAAAACCGTGCATTGGCATGCAGCTTGGGTTGAGTGGGGACAAATCGTGTAGCCAAATCATGTGCGGTTGGATAAAGTGGTGCAACGTTTATTTCACGAATGCACTTTTTGTGACTAGTTAAGTACTTTGAAGATTGGTGCGTTAATCGCAACTAGAGTGCGTGGCTCAGCTCGTCTAAACACGGTTTACACTGCCCACGTGCGGCCCTTAATAATTAAACAAAAGCAATTGAAGAGAGTGATTTTGCTAACTGTAATTGATCACAAGAAAAATTGTCTCATCAGTGGTCAACTCAAGGTTTTGTTCTTGAAGATTCCGACTATATGCCCCATTGAGCCAAAGGCTAGTAGTGTTGGGACCCCAACACAGTCCACCCCAAGGAATCATGCTTCAATGACGCTAGCTCCAAAGGAACGGGCCTAAAGTTGTATGCTGTCATTATCAAGGGCCCCAACTTGATTGGCAGAAAAGAGCGCGACTGCTCGTGCACAGCAGAGTGAACGGTTGTGGGGTGGCATGCCAGGTTGATGCGAGGGCCATGTGTGTGCAGCAAACATAGGTGTCTGGATTCGTTATGATTCATGTTACTTGCAATTAACTGATACTGTAGTGGCGTTGTAAACTTCCTTGCATTGCGATACAATATTTCATAAAATTGAACGCCTGTGTGGACAGTTCTATCTGTGGCTGGACCAGGGAACCCGCAGCAACTGGGCTTAGCCGCCGTCTTGTTCCGTCGTGGACCAGTTTTCGTCGCTGCGAAGTGAATATTGCTTGACGCAGTCTAATCCTCAGCAACGGCTTGAAATGAAGTTAGTATCAGCGCCGTGCAGGGCGCCGCTGTGGTGCGCATGTTGCAAGCCTACTTGGACCAAAACATCACTGCAAGAGATTCATTTCCTGAGGAGTTTCTGTCCGGGCCTCAAGGCGACGGCGGTCCCTTCCTTCGCGGGGCGCAGACGTACCTGAAGAGGCACAGCTTCGGGTCAACTAACACGTCAGATTTCCTGGCAGCTTTTGACAATGCCACTGGTGAGCCGCTCAACAGCCTGGATTTCAAGCATTGCGAGCAGCTCGATTGCATCCAAGCCCCTTCGGGCGAATAACCGAACCCAGTATGTGAGAAAAGAAAACCCTTCTTCTGGTGCGCTCTTCAGCAGTTTGATGTCCGTATGCGTGAGCATGGAGTACACAGATGATGTTTATGTCAAACATGCTTGGTGCACGGCAGTGCCGACTCCAGAAATGAGACTGACCAATGGGCCACGTTCAAATGCAGAAATTGATGCATGAGGATCTTGTTATTGCAGTAGCTGTGTCGAAGTTCCCGGCGAGGGGTAGTTTCACACATTTCTATCGCGTCATTGCATCTGATGCCTCGAAATTGTCATTTTCCATGCTCGGGTGCCGGCCAAAAACCACAGGCCTTCATTCTCCTTTCGCGCCGCGCTGCCATCCTGGTTGCCTTTCAAAGATGTCCAAATTGGTGCCTTGCTTAGTATCACTACTTTGCATTAAATGCAAACGTCGTTGAGAAGGGAACCGATTGCGCACTGCATGGAGCGGTTTGTGTAATTTTGATCGAAGGTCGAACATGACGTTTGGCTGGTACCAATTGGCCCCAGTGCACCGTCAGCCACATATTGTGACGTCAATGAACTAGTAGATGGAACATTTACTGCGGCAGCAGAACATCATTGTTCAATGGAGTACTCGCGAAGCCATTTTGTGGTTCCGCAGCGATCGCGCAGCGACCGTCCACTACGCGCCTTCCGCGCGCCCAAATAGACATCTGCCTCATTTGTTTCAGGTTCGCCTGTGACCGACATGATGAGCGCCTGGCTGCTGAATGGGGATTACCCGCTCGTCGAGATAATGACGATGGGCGACGGCGGCTTGGGTGTTTACGCCAGGCAGAATCGCTTTAGGCTGTCAGGCAAACTCTCGTGCTCTGCTTCCAAAGCCAGGTGGTGGATCCCAGTGCGCTACAAATTGAAGGTGGGGCGTGCGCAGGGTGCAGGGGGCGCATTGCGCGAGTTCTATTCTTTGATTTTGTTCAAATTTGAGCAAATGCAGCGAACGGAATTCCCGCTCTTAAACAAGCGGGTTGCGCCGAGCACAGAGGCGACTGCTATTGCATGTGTAACCAAATGCACATGCGATACCCCGTCCACTTTCTGACTCGGATCGTCGCGACGATTTTGTACTTCTGCTACTCCAGCATGAGTGTCGCACTTCTTCCCGCATCGCTGTGTTTATGGAAAAGAAATGTCGACATGTTCTTTTGGTTGTTTATTGCACGCAGAATGGCACTTAATCAGTCAGTACAAGCATGCAGTGCGGCATTAATTCACATGCCATCGAACGAATTGCTCGTTGAAGATTTGCTCCCTGATTCGCTGTTTCATCAGGCTGGCTGTTACATTACTGGCCTTGTCAAATACAGCTGATTAACTGATTCTTCGATTCCAACATCCTGCACAAAATTCTCAACGGCAGTGAAGCATGTTCGAATGCGTGCCTTGCGCTGCAGTCGTCCCCTGAATTCAAGTGGGCTGCCGTCCCGAGTTGCGGAAGGGTGAAGCTGGCGACTCTGGCGGACGCAAACGACACGATTGCGGCGAACGCGGGCCGGTCTGGCTACTACCGCGTCAGGTACAGAGAGCCTCTCCGGACGCGGCTGCTGGCGGATGCGCTGGACACCCCTCCGGGCGCCACCAACGCCCAGCTGACGCACGTGGACTTGGCGGCAATGTTGGACGACGCATTTCACATGTCGTTTGCGGGCGTTCAGCACTTTGATGCGTTTTTGAATCTCACGGAAGTGCTCGGTGAGTGGCATTGGCATCATTTGAGTTCGCGCAGAGCTGGTGCTTTTGTGAGTGTCACGGAAGTGCTTGGCGAGTCGCATTTGCACCATTCAGTTCGTGCAGAGCTGACATGCGGATACGGATTCAGTGGGGCTGGGACTGAAGCGGAAATGAGTCGAACTGCATGGATACTCCTATTTTTCCGCGTGAATGCTGAATGTGGAGCAGCGCAGGGGCGGTGGCTCGCGCCGCATTTGCTAGAGCCAAGAATGCATCAAACTGGCCTGCATGACGCGCATCCGGTCCACCGACTTCATTCAGACCATGTTGCGGATGGGTCCGTCATCTCTTGCTTTGTTGCGTATTGGCAAGCGTCATTTAGAGAAGACGACAGGCAATTGAGCACGCAATTCATGGCGGCTGAGAACCGTACATTGTACAATTGCTGTGCGCATACGCTGCACACTACAGAACTGAGGGCACGCTCCTTTGCGAGTGAACGCTGTGGATTGTGGAATCGCTGCGTGAGGATGCTGTGCAGTGCACGAGAGGCAAGATCCTCGCCAGACTGACGCTCACGCGTCTTCACCTTAATTCTTTGTGTCGATTTCGCCTTCTCCACGGCCACATGCGTCCCCAAAGGTAGAGCGTAACTCACTGGCTCAGTTGCTTCTGCTGCGCCACAAAGCGATGCGCCCGAGAGCCCCACCAGTGCCGTGGCTGGTAGATTAGGAACAAACGGCGCTGCTGGCTGCGCATTCTAGAAAACCGATCCGCCACGTCTGTAAACGCACCGCTTGGCTCCATTGTAGGGCCCAATATTTGGTACTTTTCGGGCCTTATATTGCAGTACTTTTCGAAGTTAATATTTTGGTACTTGTGGCCCTAATGGTTGAGTACGTTTGGTACTTTCTTGGCTCATTTTCTTGCTCGCGGCTTGACAGGTTCTCGAATGTACACGTCCCACACGCCCTGGGCCATCGCCCTGCCGCACCTCCGCGCCGCCCGCGACCTCCTGAGAAGGAGCGCAACCTCCCAGGCGTGTGGCGACGATCTGGAACAGTACGCCAGGGAGCGCCTGCTGGGCCCCATGGTCCGCGAGGCCAGCAATCCGTACTCGGGGGCGGGGAGGGGCCTCGGTTTCTCGGTGGGCGCGGACGAGCCGCTGGACTTCAGGCTGATGCACCAGGGGCTGTTGCAGGAGGCCGGCAACTTCGGCGGCGTGGACGTCATTTCGAAGTCGCTGGAGATCTTCTTTGGGGATGGCGCGGCCAGCCTTCACCCTGACTTGCAGTCCGTGGTGTACAAGTGAGTTTTTTTCTTTAGTTCCGAAACGCTACATCACATTTCGGCGTCCAGGAGCCTCCCCCGTCCCATCACAGGATATGTGGTGGCCCTTGTGCACCCGAGTGAGAGCGTGCAAGGCGATGTGAAGCCTTCAAGTTGCTCGAATCCAAAAGAATGCTCGGTCTCAAGAAAGGGAAGTGTTTTGTCGTTGTTGTTGCTGTTGGATTCCAAATATAACATCGCATTTCAGTGTGCAGTGTACAAGTGAGTGTGTTGGCTGAACGACGTGGCCGCAATTGGGGGTTTGCTGGCGGTGGGTTGATGCGGTGTGGGTTGCATGTCGTGGTTTGTTGATTCGTCATCAGGTGGTGCGTGGACGACCTTCTGTTGTCGTTGGACGATGTAATCACGCGCATGGTATGTGCATAATGCATTGCAATATACTCAAACAATACTCGTATTAGTATGCCACTAATTAGTGTAATAGTCGTACTATTGATCGCACAATGCATTGCATTGTGCGAGTATTTCAGGAGTGGGTCAGCGCAAAAGAGCGCTGTATTCGAGTTCAACTCGCTGACAGAATGCCGATATGTGGACCGAATATCCAATCAGTGATCTGCGTTGCCAATGCTGTGTCTAAAGAACGGGCAAAGTGGTGCCCAGCCAGTCTGGCTGGTGCCCCAAGGCCTGAACGCACTGGCCACGCACAGCGTTGGCATGAACATTTCATGGGCATTGACCGCGCCCCTCCAATCGCTGCCGGGATGAATAGGAACATATGAAAAAAATCGCGGTAATTTTACTCATATCACTCCAGAGGACATGTGCAGAAATGCGCGTTGTTGTACTATTGTTGCATAAACTGATGATGTGTATCTTGGAATTCGTGGTAAAGCGCATATTAACCGTGCAATCTCAGCAGTGCTTCTGGTGCTCTTCACAAGGAAGAAAGAGCCAAATAACACGTGTTGAAACGTGGACAAAGACTACGGGCTTGCGTTATTTTTGTGTTTTCAGCGTGCACAACATTGATGAAATGCATTTCATATGTGTTCCCAAAAAGTGTTACTTGGTCCTTTTTTTGCTGGTGCTTATACTCAAAGTGAACAACAGTGAATAAGAGTCTTATTCACCGGTGCTCGTGTTGTGCAGCCTTGCAGTGGCCAGCGGGAACAGCAGCGCGTACGAGCAAGTCAAGTCGCGCTTTCTCGAGGCTGAAGATCCCCATGAGAAGAAGAGGCTCCTGCTGGCCCTCACGTACGTCCCTGATCCAGGGCGCATCAACGAGACCCTCCAGCTCGCCTTCAACGACGCTGTGCCAGACAGGGTGCGCCCAATGTTTGCTCTATGCCTTGCGCACAATGACATGGACCGAAGCTGGTCTGCGTATGACAGATTGCGCTCATGTTCAGGGAGCGCGGATGCAGTACATGGGCAACAACACTCCACATCAACGCGATGTGGTACCTTCCTTTCATTCTACTTCTCCATTCGGCGGCGTCCGTTTGCCCATCGCCTTGTGTTCTGCACTCTGGCAGCCGTCACCAGCGTCTTTCGCCTGCGTTTAGTCATCTCGCGTTCCCTTGCTCGGTTTCGCGTCGCCAACCCTTGCTCGTCCTTGCTCGGCTGACGAATTCTGAAGAAGAGTGACGCAAATATAATCAAAAGATTAATGACCCATTCACCCCCTGCATTCCCCAAACCGCCTGAGGGCTCCTTCCCTCCGCACAGGACAAGTTTCTGATCTTCGAGAAGAACGACTTCACCTACACCTACGGCGGCCTCCTGGCCCGAGGCGGGCGGTCCATCGACGCCGCGGCCGACTTTTTTGCCGACTTCCTCACCTCGCTGTACAACTCGTTCGGCGACTGCGACGTGAGGCTGTGGATCAAGGGCATCGCCCGTGCGTTGCTGGACGACGAGAAGTCCCAAAATTTTGTGCAAGCCGCAAGTCAAGGCTTCCAGCCCGGGCAGCTGGAAGAGCTGACGGCGAGGAATTCGCAGTGGGTGGCTCGCTACGGGCAATCCACGTGCCGGTGGCTGAGGTCGCGGATGAGCTGAATCAACCGTTTGGACGAAGCTGCTGCTGGCGCAGTGCATAGACACTGCGCGCAGCTGCTTATATGTTTAGTGACATGCTGGTGGCCCAGTACGTAGACGCAGCATGCAGCTGCCATGTCGTTCGTTGAAATTCGTGCGATTTCCGGCGCCCTTGGGTGTTGTTAGTTTCCAAGGCATGGACATACCGAAAGTCGATGCCCTGCCTTGACTCAATTTGTTGAGCTTCGTGAACAGAGTTGAATGTCAATATGCGTAGTGCCCCTGATCGAAATCGCCAGCCTTGAGCAATCGCATTCAGGCTCTCGCGTGCCCCGGATGAAGGACAGCTTTTCTTCTGCAGGGGCCCGCCCTGGCTATGGCCATGGCCAGTTTGGGGTGGACCGCCCGTGCGGCAGGGCACATTGTTCTTCAGCTCCCCGCGGATGCCTGGGTGTGACTTGGCCTGCGCACAAAGCCTGAGTTGCAGAAGGCACCAAATTGATTCCTAGGCAGTACCTGCTGCGCCATTGCTGCTGCCCCACACTTGCTGTACTGCAGAAACCTCGCGACATTTCACCCTGTGCTTTGGCATAGTTCGCGCATCTAGTTCCAGGAGGCACCAAACGCACATATACTGTCGGCCCCGTGGCGCCTCGCTCGCGTTCATACGTGGAACATCGAGGGCGGTGCAATCATGTCCACAATGCCGTCGCATGCTGAGGCTCGCCCTGACTGCAAGTTCATTTGAATACCTGCGCAAACGCAGAAGGTAAAATACCATGCCATGTCTGCGCTACGCGGAGACTTAATGTGGCAGAGTAGCAACGGTGCAGTGAATCCTGGCCATGAAAAAGCTGTGCACTGTTGTTAAGAGTTTCTGGGAAACAGCCTTGTCCTTCATTACGATCCGCAATTCCCTGGCTACGGACCAATTACATCCCGGATATGTACACCCACGTTATGGCCATATCGAAGATGATTCACGTCCGCATCTCATTCGACATCCGGAATATTGCTGCGGATATGCGGACTCCCTTCTCCTGGATAGGGCGCTATCCACTGACGTATATCCTCGCATGGCGAAACGGAGCCCTTTCCACCCAGCGCTTGACCCCGAAACTCCTTTTTCAAAGCCCTCGTCCAGCCCCTTTTTCGTCATTACTTATCATTTCCCACTCAAATTGTTTCACTATTGATCTTTTCTTCATTAGTCATCGCTCCAGCCACGAGCAGCCCATGCACATCGGCCCGGATGCCGAGGAATGGGACCGCTGCGTCCCGTTGCAGTGACTGCTGCCCGTTTCGCATTCACGAAGCGCCACTGAGAGCAGGCGCACGGCTGTGGAGCGGCTGCACTGTGCATGGTTCCTTGCGTGCTATTCCACCTGTATTGGGATGCACTGCGAGGCGGGGCCTTTGTTGCAGAGGTCAGGCCCGGCCAACTCTCCATTTTTTATGTTGTTCTCGTTCACTGCTCCATAATTATGGATGCGCACTCATGATACTATGTAATATGTCTTTAAGAGGGGCCAATTGTGCGACCTAACATGGGATAACATTGCATTGAAGTGTGTTTTGCTGCTAGGTCCGTTGTGGGAGAGCCATGGAAGGGGACCACACATGTTGAAACACGTTTGAGAGTTCTATGTTTCTAACATTGGAGTATTCAAAATTTGGGAGCAGCATCGTATTCCTGATTCTGGCGACAGCAAAACCTCCCCAGCATGTCCCTTACCCTTGCAAGTACTGCATGGGGCGAAGACTGAATGATATTATATATGCGTACGCTTGTGCTGCTACGTTGCCTCGTGCCAGGTACGAACGGAAAAGCGACTTCCCGCAGCGCAACGATGACCTGAATTCTTGGAGGCTGCATTTTTGGAAGTAGCGGCGCGGTTTTGATTTGGCTACAGTTTTTTTCCGGCTTTAAACGGAAAATCCTGATGGTCAAAGCGAGGTACCTGTCGGCTCTGCGTTTTGCCAAGCCCTCTCCATCAACTGGTTTGGATTGTTGCAAACTTGCCCAATGGTCCCTTGAAGGGCGACTCCCCGCAAGCTCATGTGCAGTGCAAACGCCCAATTCATCCGGGCCATCAGGCGATCACAATGATTGACTAAACGAGCAAGAGCCGCCAGGCATGATGAGAGGCGGCAGCCAAACATTCTCCACACGCCGCACCAAGATGTGCCAACCTTGATTACAAGACTTGACACAGTTTCTTATTGAACAATCGCATCATTGTTCCTGGTCAGCGTTTCCGACAGCGAGCCGCCATGGCCCGCTGGGAGAGTCTATTTCCATGCAATCTCAACAAAATTCCCACAGGCCAGTGCTGAATTGGACTGTTCTATGTGCTCACAGGCGGACCCAATCGCCCTGACTGAAGTTTTCTTGACTTCTGTTTCGGAACCCATGCCCTGCAAAGAAAACGGGGGCACCAGTAAATAACTGTTGAAACACAGGGCGCCCATACTGCAATATAGCTGGCAATAACCCGTAAGCCGTCAGAGCCATCGCCAAGGCTCATGCATAAAGCTCTTCGCAGTGCTGTGTTCAGCTTTCTGTATGTAGAAACAGGTGCACTGAGAATGCAGTTTATTGGGCCACATGGCCAGGAAATGTGCTCGCGGTGCATGACCCCTGCGAATGGCCGCCGGTTCACTTATCCACGGGTTCTAGCTGCAGGGTTGCGGGCATTAGCCAAGCCATGTGGCACAAAATACGCCATAGTTGCACAAGTTTCAGAAATTCATTTTCCTGGGAATGTCAGAGAAGATGGCATGGAAATTGGTCTGGCGTCGGCGGGCTCACCTTCAGCACATCTCTTTACAGCAGGTGCCGCCTCCCGAAGCTGTAGGGTTTGTAGCTGTCGTACTTTGTATCCTTGTAGCCATACTCGTAGTCGGGCTCCTTGTAACCGTTGTAGTCATACTTACCATAGCTGTTGTAGTCATCACCATGATGGTGGCTGTCGTGATGGCCATATGTCGACGAGCCGTACTTTGCATCGTATCCATAGTCGTCATGACCGTACGAGCCGCCGTACCCATAGTCGTCGTGACCGCCGTAGTAGTCAGGCTCCTTGTAGCCGTCGTGACCGTATGTGTCGCCCGATCCGTAACCGTATCCATCATCCTTGTGGTGGTGGCCGCCGTGTCCACCGTAGTCATTCCCGTATCCATAATCGCCACCATGGGAGTCGTAACCATATTTGCCGTATTCGTGATCGTGCCCATAGTCGTCGTGACCCCCATAGTAGTCGGGCTCCTTGTAGCTGTCGTAATCATGCTTACCGTAGTCGTTGTAGCCGTCGTATCCTCCATAACCGTAGGTGTCATGGGAATCGTAACCATATCCACCGTAGCCGTAGTCTTTGTGACCGTACGTATCGTATTCGCCATAGTGGTCATGGCCGCCGTAGCCGTCATAGCCGTAGTCTTTGTGACCGTATGTATCGTATTCGTCATAGTGGTCATGGCCGCCGTAGCCATCATAGCCGTAGTCGTCATAGCCATAGTCGTCGCCGTGGTGACGCCCGTGGTCGTCATAACCTCCTGAGTCACCAATTATTGGAATCGTTATTGGTGCGATGGTTATTTATATTTCTATTACAACTTGATCGTCAGAATGTTCATATAATGATTTTTAATAAAAACGGCCTGCTGTAAGCGCTGCATGTGTGTTGACGTCTGTGAGGTTCAGATGACGTTTGTTGGCCAACGAGCTCAAAACAGGCGTGAAGATTCAGCAGCTAAACGAGGCCCCCCCGAGTCGCCCCCGTGTCAGACACACATTAGGCCACACGATCCAGTGGGGGGGGTGTGCAGGCACGGGGCGCGTCCCACAGATCACATACCACGCATCGGATCAGATATCGGATCACATCGAATCACGTCGAATCATCATGTCGGATCACAAATGTCACACCATGTCATGCCACATATCACATCATATCGGACCGTATACGATCGTATCGGAACACCGCTCACCCTTGTGGCTGTGCGGGCACGGCTTGGCGCGCCTCTCCTTCTCGCACTGGTACACGATGGCGTCCAGAATCGTGCCCTTGGCCAGCAGCTTCGCCTCGTCGTCCCCGTAGCTCAGGTAGTTCTTGCACACCTCCTGGGCCGCGTGGCCCAGTTTGTAGCGCAGGAAATTGACCTTGTACTGTTTGGACACCCCGTAGGAGCGGCCCGTCGCGCACAGGCGGCGGATTTGGTTCTCGCAGGCCTTGGAGTCCGGGTGGCCGCAGGCCGTGCAGTAGTCGGAGGCGCGGGGGTCCTCCTTGCAGTCCTGGATAACGAATTCAAACAATTGTGAGGAACTTCATTAGTTACAACAAGCACGTGTAAATTGAAAAGAAAACACCATGCACTTGTGTAAACTGTGTACTCAATGGGCTACATAATTGTGTATATTATCTAGTTAGTTGGGTCAGCAATCATACAAAGATTCGAACTATGATCTTGAAATCTACTAGTTGGCATTTGCACTGCTCAAAACAATTAGTCTGAAACTTGAGAGTTAGGATTTACAGTATCAGCTATAAGCGAGAACTTTCTGAAAATGTATTTTGGGTATCCACTGCTGTGATTTATTACAATCTCTTTATCGTTTCTGGGCGGAACAGGCGGCGCAAGGAATAAAAGGTGATTTTAAGGCTGCAAATCGAATACCACGCCCGTCCCTCGAACTGCGGACAACTCGGACTTGATGAAAAGAAGCTTGACTTCGGCGTGCAATCACACTGCGCAATTGCGCCCACCTGGCGCATGGCCTACCCCTCACTGCCTCGTCCACAATTCGGCCACATCAATCAGTATGTATTAAATACAATCAGCGCCAACACTACTCTGCTTTGGTTCTTAGCCATTATTGGTACTATTCTGGATTGCACTTAATCTCACACAATATATAATCGTATTCACTATAATATGTGACACAATCACATCCACTCGGCACCGCATCGACACCGGCTCATGCGCCGCGAAAATCGCCTATCCCCCGCCTCGCTTCCAAC